AATAGGGCATTGACCTGGTTTTTTTTGTTTTTTTTTTTTTTTTTTTTTTTTTTATTTTTTGGTCGCCATAGTAGACAATGATCTTCTTCTCGATCTTGTTCTCTGGTGAATTGCAAGTCGCCTCTACTATAATCCGGTTGGGATTGGTTGGGTCTCGAACGTTGGAATGCAGGAAGCACTTGGTTTGTTTGCTAGTCTCTCCATCCATCAACTTCTTGGTATGTGTGATATTCATCAGCTCTCTATTGTTCTCTGCCGCACCTTGTTTGGTTGGCGTCTTCATTTGCTGAAGCGTGAGTGTTGATGACAACGATGTTGGTTGTGGCTGTTGTTTTTTTTTTTTTTTTTTTTTTTTTTGTGGTTGTTGTTGTTGTTGTTGCGATAATGACTTGATGATTCCCTCTAACTCCTCTATACGCAGCCTCAACGTGTGAGTCTCCTCCTGTGATTCTTTAGTCTGGAACATATCAATGATGATATTGTAACACAGTTTGGCGCACACGGGCAGGTGTTTGCCCAAGACCCAGATATCCAACTCAGTACCGCAGAAGAAGCATTTGACACCTGCTTGCTTAACTCTGGTGACTATTAACTGGGTTAGCTCCTCAGACATCAGATGTTGTATTATATATATGTATTAATTGGTCGCTATTACTATGTTGGAGGTTGCAAAGGGTCATCACGGGTCGGACCTTGGATTCCAAAACAAATATTTGAAGAATCCACCCACAACACCCGTTGAACCCTGCAGAACCCAAGCTAACCTTAGCAGCAATCAAGTGTAGGTACAACTTAATGCAATTTCAACTCTCTTGGTCTGGTGAACAACATCTCACACACACTCACTCTCACACACAACAAACCATCTACCAACCTATCCCTTTACATCGGTCATCCCTCCATCCATCCATCCAAAGAGTTGACTTGTTGACTTGACTGACTGATTCAGTCACTCTTCCCTATTTTCTCTCTTTTTCTCTCCACAACACTATCAATAAATTCTTTTAATTATTGATTTGACTTTATCTTTATCTATTATTATTATGATGTCAATAGACTGATAGATAATTGATTGATTTATTGATTGATTGAACACTTTGTATTATTATTATTATTGTCTGGATAGAGACATTGGAAATGAAGGGATCTGTTTGCTGCCAACATTTTGAAATGGAAGTGTGTTTCTAATTTTAAATTTGGCGCCATTTCATTCATAATCTTGCATTGTTGGATGGCTGATAAACGATGAGCTGGCTGTCTGTGATATCACAGACTTATACAGGCAAGAGATAGAGATACAAACAACAAACATTGACTGAAGACATCACCGACCAACTAAAAATGGATAAGATTACTGATAGCAATGTTGAGTCTTTGCTTGTTGATTGGACCAAACTTACAGCATTGATCAATGCTCATCAACAACAACATAAAGTCAAAGAACATATACAACTTTGTTTCATATCTTATGTCAATCGATTGTCATCAGCAAAGTATGTTCTCAGGATCAAGATACACTCATTCAATCAATGACTCACTCATTCATTCATAGGAGTGGCGTTGGAAAGTCATTGTCTGAAACAAGCGATAAGATACATGGTTCATTGGAGACTACATTTGCACAGAACAAGCAGCAGGCATCGGGCAATCTTTATGCCAGTGGATTGGACCTGTTGGTACGATGCTCAATGATATTGCTCGACAAACTGAATGAATATCCAGTGACCAAAGCCAATGACATGATATTCAAACGATGGTTTAATCTGGTGAACATTCTTACCGAGTGCAATCAGGCCACCGTTGCACTGGAGTTTGGTGAGCGACTTCATGCCTCCCTGACTCAATGCGAGCAGACGCATCCCAATGCCAAAGATCCAGAGTTCTACCAGCGAATGATCGAGAGACTCGACAGGGCCATGTCCTACATCAGGATGAACAACTATCATGATCAGATTATGACATTCACTGCCAAGGTATGTTTGGTTTGTGTGCATGGCGAGTGATGGATGTTGATGAGACATCAGCTGACTCGCCCCTTCTACTTCCACTTCCACAGAGGATCAACGAGATCCTAAGCCAATGGCTTCGAGTCAAGTTTGAACAAGGCAAGCCCAACCTCAACGACTACTTATTCCCAAAGTATTACAATCGTTTAGTGAGTTTGGATCCCAAAGAAAGTATGTATCCATGTCCATGTGATAACTGGAATAGTCCCACTCGCACACTCACTCAATCACTCACTCCAATCAATCAATGAATGATAAGTTACTGGAAAGGAAGAGATATATCTACAGTTTGTTCATTTCACATTCATGTTGTTGGCACGATCTAATCAGGCATTATTGTTCTCAAACAAGGCCTATCAATTCCATCGAAGGACAACGAGGATAATCACACCACTGGGGTTGGTTGGACCGACCCTAGACTGCTTCAATGCCATCGCCAACAGGGAGGCAACAACAACATCCACACCACCATCCAAAGATGTTGCCAACATGCCCCTCGACATCACCAACCTCATCTGGATGCATGTCCAATCAAACTTCTACATTACCAATGGTACCAATGTATGTTCATTCAAGGCCAATCAAAGTGTCACTCATTCACTTACTCATTCATAATCAATCGATCAATCAATCAAATTAGAATCCAAGGTATTATGACAACGCTATCCAATTGCTGGAGAGGATGCACATCGACTTGGTGACCATCCAGCAACAACAACAGTCGTCCACACTGCGGAAGATACAGTTGGACTTTATAATCTTGCAGCTGAGTGGTCTGGTTGGCCAATGTGACATAGCAATGGCACAGTTGTCAAAGTCATTGACAGGATCATCAACGATTGAGCAGAGAGTATTGACATTGCTCAAGCAGATTGGTCAGATGTATGGAGCAAAGGGCATTGATCAGCTGGTGTTCCAGGCCTTCGCCGGCGACGATCCCAAGGCAATTGAGTTAAAGAGCGAGCTACTGCGTTGTATCAGATGGACCGTGGAGTATACACAACACTGTATACAATCACTCCTCCAACTCGATACCAAGCTCTGGACCAACCTGGCGCCATCACTGAGCATCCTCCTTAAGTTGCCCACACATCTCATCAACTGGATCCGATCCTTTGAGTGTATTGAGGCCAACCTGTCCAAGGTAAGTGTCGTTGGAATCATTCCTAACTTAATCAATCAGTCACATACTCAACCTTCACCGCATCATCCATTACAGAGATACTTGGATGACATGATACAGATGAATGTGAGGACATTGTGTAGCTATATTGCGACAGAGAAGCTTGCAAGATGCCCTAGCATTATGGAATCTATGTTGGAAATGGTGGACTATTATGGAGACATGGCTTGTAGCAAGACCATCATATCGGATGATATTGTGCGACTGCTACATATAATGGGCGGACACCTGTCAAAGGATCAGCATACGGCTGAGCAAGCGATAGGCTACTTGGAGAAGGGATACCTGGCCTCGAGACTGACGCCAAGCACCGCCGACAACTATGCTAAATTGCTGCGGCAGGTCTACCATCTGATGCGATTGTACGCCAAGCATGGACATCGTCGCAAGGCCATCGAGTACACCAGCGATGCACTCCAGTATCTGGTCGCGTCGACTGATGCCGCCGACATGTTCACGCCACAGAATCCCTCAGTCAATCGCGAGGATGCCCAGGTCACGCTGCCCCTGATCCTCAAGCACTTCATCCAGTGTCAGGTGGCGCTGTCGGGCGACGAGCAACTGGACACGATACCCTTCTTACCCGACCTATTGCCAGAAGACTTTGACGTCGAGTCTCGCGTGCACCTCTACGACCAGTGCATCGTCACGTACAACACACTCAAGGTCAACGATGACATCAAGCTCGAGGGCATCAATCGCATCCTGGCCACACTGTCCGACGACACCCATCCCATCCTCTTGGGCAAGTACATGGTGGAGAAGGCCAAGCTGCTGCGACTGGTCGACTGCACACAGGAGGACAAGGAGGCCATCAGCAACGAGATCGAGCAGCTGTTCCAGGACGCAGTCGACATGCTCAGCAAGCACAAGCAAGCCCCGATGGACCTGGCCAACGACAACGTGCTCGAGTTGGCCATCGACAACGAGCTGGCCAAGGCTAATTTCTGGAAGGCCGTGGCATTCATCGAGCGACATCAGAACAACTATAGCACAGAGCTGTTACAACAAGGCATGCGATCACTTGACACCAACACTGGCGAGGAGGATATATACGAGAGCAGCGAGGGCAGTAGCCAGGTCGCGCGTTACATCAATGCCGAACGCCATCGCTACTGCCCACCCGTGGGCACCGAATACGTGGGCCAAAAGCTGAAGCAATCGATCAGGCAATGGTGTATCATCCTGGAGAGGCTCCAGAAGCCAAGCAATGACCAAGCTACGGACGACACAGCAGTGTACGCTGCCAACTCCAAGCACTTCATCACACCACTGGCGACGATCAGAATTCTTCAGACTATTGCGGACATTTACGAGTTTGAGGGCGATCTCACCATGGCCATCTTTGTGATCAAGCTCTCATTGTCCCTGCTCAGATGTCTGTTCCCCGCAACAAACGAGCACTTTGCCAACGAGTCGGCCAAGTGTTACAGCCACCTCTGTACCATATACTCTGAGCTCGAGTCACATGACAAGATGAAGCTAACAATCCAACTACTCCAATCGACCCTCAGCCAAATGTCCGACCAGCACATTGACAAGGCCAACCATCTGCTCATGCTCCAAATCCATCAGCTGGACTTGCAGCTACACACCAGTTCAAGTCAATCATGGTATGTCAATATCACTCATTCATTCATTGACCTCGCCCCTAACTCAACTCACCGACACACCTTTAGCCACGACCAAATACTGGACTTGTACATAAGTTGTAAGAACAAGATGAAGGAGAGCCATAAGTTGGTGGACTACCCGGCATATATCAAGCTCACTCGATTGGCATCAATTGTACATTTGGAGCGAGGCAACTCAAACATGGCATTGAAGCTCTCCAACGATATGTTGAGTTATATCCAGACACTCATACCAACTGAGTCCAGACTCACACTACGTCAATCCAACACTTCATTCTCATCAAGTACCAGCAGTTCATCATCGTCATCATCATCACGATCCAGTAGCAGTAGTTCAAGCTCATCATCATCATCATCGTCATCGTCACAAGAGGAAAAGATGTCCATTGCAAATCAAGGTCGTATATCCAAATGGGGATGTCTAAGTATATGCTTGGACTCACTTCTTCACCTTGCCTCTATATACGAGCTCAGAGGCAGACCCAAGGAAGCCCACTACTACTATGAACGTGGTCTTCTCGTAAGTATAACCCGCCCTTCGTCCATTCTGGATTCATTCCACTCACTCATACAACACACAACACCCAATAGATTGGAACAGTTTATGGATCACTCAAGGTTAGTTGTGAGTTCCTGATTGAACTTGGAGAGCTATGCTTCAATCGCCATAACTATACGGACTCAAAGATCAATTTGGAACAAGCTATTGGGTTGGTTGACAAGTATGCACCGAATGAACCCAGACTCCAAAAGGTGTACTTGATCGCCAACATGCTACTGGGCGATCTCTACCGTCGCCAGAACATCACCTCTCAGTCCATGCACCTCTATCGAAAGTGCCTCAGTTCGATTGACCAGTTCACCCAGTCTGAGCAGCTGATGGAGCAGTTCATGGAGACACTGACCTTTGCCAACGACTCGACGCCCAAGGAGAAGCGCATCCTCAAGCTCACTGCCGCCACCAAGAGCGCTGTCCCCAAGTCAAAGACAGCGACTACCAAGGGCGTGAGCAGCTCACGATCAACAGCAACTGCAGGCAAAGCAGAGGGTAACCTCGAGTCCCTCATTGACATGTTGTCCGGGTGCACACTCTCTGGCACGCCCAAGGACGAGCAGTCCAAGCTGAACGTGGAGGTATCACTCAATGCAATACGTTCGAGAATCATTGGCAAGCAGGCAAAGATCATGATCATCAAGAGCAGACATGACCAGGCCATCGAGACACTGGAGCAGCTGATCGACGACTATGAAGTGCTGGACTCGCGTCCATCAAGCATCATCACATTGTCACTTCTCCAACTACACCTCGGTCGTGCGTACTACCTCAAGGCGCCAGAGTCCAGCAGGGAGGCCATCTGGAAGCACTATTACACGCCAAAGGCTATGCAGCCAGACAAGTTCATTCTAAAGGCGCGAGAACTATTCCTGGCATCACTAAGACAGTGTGGCAAGTACAACATCATCAAGCTGTCCTCATTGCTCTGTCGCCACCTGGCCTTCACCACTGGACAGTCGCTGCCCTATGCCACCATCCACTTCCTCAACCTCTCGCTTGGCATCAGGTTCAAGCATGATATACAGACGATCGTACAACAGCAGGACAAGGACATGGTGGACGATGGCAACATGCTATTGAAGCAGAAGTTGTTCAGTTGGGATGGTGGCGTGGCCATTCCTTCGAAGCTCGATGACAAGATGTTCACAGCCGAGTTGACCAGAATGTACTCTGAGCGCATGCCCAGTGAATGGACTGCCAGCAACATCATCATTGGCATTGATCGCAAGTCCATCATTCTCACTCGACTCATTGGTTCACAACAGCCGCTACTTATCAAGGTTGCCATGCCAGTCTACGAATCATCAAACATGGATGAGGAGGACCGTGAGGAGCAAGATGAAGAGGACGACGACCAGAATGATCCTGAGATTGTACTACCATTCATTGACAAGTTGAGGAACGATATGAAGATGTTGTCAATCGAGAACTTGAGGAACAATCAGGAGAATACGCCAAAGAGTCCAGATGATGAGACAGAGACGATGAGACAGAAGTGGTACAAGAGGAGGAGGAATCTCGAGTCTGAGGTAGACCAGCTACTACAATCCCTGGATGGAGTATTTGGCGTGTGGAAGTCATTGTTCATTGGTACACTCTCGTGTGACGTGCTCAAAGAGAAGCTAGCTACACATATACCTGCGCTGGCGGCCGAGCTGACCGCGCTCCACCCCGAGGCCAAGAACAGGGTGGTCCCAATCGGACTGCTAGAGAGTCTGATCATGTCGATACCATACACCAACGAATCACATCTACATCATGGAATCATTCAACTTCTCGGCTACTCATACATGGATGGCGTGCATCCCGCTGCAGACGACTACCTCGAGGTGTCCAGCCAGCACAACCCCGACTGGAAGAACATCAAGAAGGCCAAGGAGCTGATTGTCAAGTGCTTCAACGTGCTGTTCAAGACAAAGAAGACCGGCGCGCAGCTGATCCAAGAGTCTATCGACTACGCCAAGACCATCCCCAAGATGCCCGTCGTGCTGGTCATGGACAAGAACCTGCATCTCTTCCCCATCGAGTCGATGGAGCCACTTCGCGACTCGTCCGTCTACCGCCTTCCCTCGTTCTCTCTGCACCAACTGCTCACCATGCTCAATCGCAAGGAGACTGGTAACGACTACACGATGGCCGACTCGAGCAGCCTGTATTACATCCTGAATCCCAAGGGCGACCTGACCAAGACCGAGTCGATGTTCTCCAAGGTGTTTGCAACACTGGCACCCGAGTGGAAGGGGCTCAAGGGCCGTCCGCCATCAAAGAAGGAGTACCGCCACGCCCTGGAGCAGCACCAGCTGTTCCTCTACATGGGTCACGGCTCTGGCGAACAGTACTACCCCAGCGACGACATCCAGAAGCTGAGCAAATGTGCCGTGTCCATGCTGTTTGGATGCAGGAGTGGTGGGCTGGAGGAGCAGGGCGAGTATGAGCCGACAGGCGTCATATTGGACCTGTTGCTGGCGGGCAGTCGCAGCGTGGTTGGACATCTTTGGGACATACCATCGATGGACTCTGATCGACTGGCGCAATCATTCATGGACAAATGGTTCAAAGAGAACAGGATGAAGGTTGAGGGCAGTGAATGCACAGACATTGGCGAGGCCGTGGCAGTATCGAGGAGGTCCTGCACATGGAAGTATCTCGTTGGGTCAAGTTGTATCACTTATGGTATACCAACATACCTAGCTCAACAACAATAAATACTATTATTATAATATTATAATTTGCAAAAAAAAATGATGGGTGGGAGAGTTTGAAGGCCTCCATATTGGTCCTCTAGTGATCATCACTCATTTGGTTGTTAGATTGTTGAAAGCATGTACAAGCTTGGCAAGTCTTTGTTCATATTGTTGGACGATAGAAGCGACAATACCAACAACAAACTCAACGACAAGAAGGACAAAGATGTATCATCACTCACATCCAGTGAGTTACAACTCTGCTTCCAATCGATTGATTCAAACATCGAACAAGATCAAAGTAGCACCAACAACAGCAATAGTACGACATTACAAGTGATCGAGAGCATTGCAAAGGCATTCGTCGAGCAACACAAGATACATTTCAAACAATATGACATCAGACAATGTACACTCAATCGACTTGTGGTCAATGATAAAGAGCAGCAACAGTTGGTTGTCGACAATGTACACACTCCACCTGCATCATACTTTAGAGTACAACGTTTGTTCAACTATTTGATGACACATCATCAGACCTCATTCTGGAATGCACTTACTGAACAGCTGGTGGCAAACTTGAAGCACAGTGACAATGACTCGAGACGACAGTTGTTGGATGTGATCATGATGGTCAGCCATATGATACTAGCATCAGACAAGTGGTCACTACAGAATGACATCATCTTGGATCATGTGATGCCACAACTTATCAATACCATTAGGTTGTTTGGACAACCAGACCCGGCAACCGAGGGCGGAGTGCAGCCCACGCGTCTAGCAGTTGGTGCCAGTGATCTTGCCCTATCAATATCTATCGCGATACTACAGTGCAAGACTGCTGCCAATGTTGAGCAAACAATCAAGTTGTTGAACTTTGTCAAAGAGGTCACACAATGCCTTTCAAGTTGGAGTCACAGACAACATCTGTTACGCTATGCACTTGATCACCTTGTTGATTTCATCAAACAAATGTCACCGGTTGAGGTGTCCAACCTGTCTCAGTGCTTAGTCTGGTATCAACATGTTCTGCCACTACTCTACTTTCAAATGTCAACGCCAACCAAGTCCTGCATCACATCAATGGAATCACTGATCAATCAATCGATCAACACATTGATCACAATGTCTGGACAGAGCGATCAACTTCAAGATGGTGACTCCAACCAAGTGATCAAGGTTATCGATGTCATTGATCTATGTTGTATCACAATGTTCTTGCTAATTGGATGCCAATCACAAAGAAGACAACAGGACATTATAACAAGATATAATGATGAGCTGGTCGACATATCATCATTCCTTATTCAATTTCCAGAGCCAACAATCCAATCATATTGTGTCAAGTTGTTGGAGTTACTATTTCCACTCACATCATCCAGACTACATGGCACTGGCGGTGTTGGCACAATGGATATATTCACCACAATGTTGAGTGAGACCGATGCGCTACCTCGTCCACTCGTTCACTTCATTGCATCAACGTTGTCCAAACACAACACACAGCTTGGACATCTACTTGAACTCATCAATTCATATCATTCAATCAATGTACAACTTGTACTTAAGGAATTATGCACAATATCACCATTGCAATTCATCAACAATGAGTCACAGGGTAGGATCCTAGTCGATTGGATTCTCCTACAAGATACCAGCGGTGACGATCAACAATCAAATACAATCTTCATAGCCAATCATATACATCCTTTAATATTACTACCAACATTATTACGGAATACTATCAACAACAATCAATCCAAACTCGATCCACTTATCATCAATATATTCACCAAGCACAAGATGACCAGTGTGGCCTTTGATCAACTACTTGATATTCTAATGTATGTACCAAGGTTATCAGAAGTCCTCAAGGCAGACCAGGCCACTCATTCATTCAATCACTCATTCATTCAATCAATCATTCAAGTACCAACAAGATAGATGAGGATTGGAAAGGTGGCGAAGTTACATTGGATAGTAAGGCGAGCGATAAGTTGATGACATTGGTAACAACAATCTCGAGCAAACTAGACGCTAAGACATGGAAACAAATCCTTCCAGTCTTTGTGATCAAGTGGTGGGCAAATGCAAGGGATACAACAATGTCAAAGATACTACAGCGCATGTTGCCATCGATAGACACGGACACTCTTGGACACTTGATGATCATATCCATCAGAGATAGAATGCAACAACAACAACTAGTGTTGGGGACGAGTGGACAGACTCAGGGTCAGGAGGAAACCACGGTCTTTCAACTACTCTCTCCACTTTTACTCCTTAAGATGTGTCTGAAGGAGTTGTTGCTTGGTGGCAAACGTGATCAATCATGGCGCAATACAGATTGTCGACGCGTGGAACTTGACCAAGTGTACGCAATGTTAATCTATCGCGTCGTATCCAAGAACGCAGCATTGTTGGTGGAGATCCAACGACTGGCTGCAGAATGTATCAGTAACCTACCATCAATTTATTGGTTACAATCAGTGTCCGAGTCATTGGAACGAATGGTTATACAACTGACGGTCAATAATGATAGAGTTGATGTAGACACTCAAACTGCCAAACTACTGCTATTCACTCTATGTAATGGATGTTTGGTGCAGTATAACAACATATTGATGGTCAAGGATGGCGATGGAACATTCATACATCGACTGGCAACGGTAGTCTGGAAGGTGATAACATGTTCAAACACTCCACGTCTTCACATTGATGATGCCGAGTTTAAGAAGTTACAACTTGGCGCAGGTGACCTTCTGGCCTTTATGACCAAGCCTCTGTTCTCTAGCAATATCATCATCAAACCACTCACATCCGAGGCGATCAGGGCGAGCCGACTCGATACCCTGGACCAAGCGCACACTATCAATGACTTGCTGATCACCCAGTTCAAGCTTCTCTTCTCGCGCGACCCAGCCTCACACATGACCCGCACCAAGCAACTGGTGCTCAACTCGTTGATGACATTGGCAAAGCTGCTGGACGATCATGAGTGCCAAACATTCCAGGCGGCTGTGTTCACACCACTCATCAGATTGTACTTCCACCTGCAACAACAATTGGAGCAGCACATGCCCGAGGGCACCTCATGGACCACGACATCAAGCAATGTGATCGGGATCATGGCCAACATTATACAGATTCTGTTCACAGTGACGATGAAGCTTCACGAGTACCAGCTGGCACCACATGGTGACGATCTGTTCGATATGGTAGTTGACGCCATTGGTAAACAACCCAGTGCAATGCTCAAGTTGTCTGGCCTGAGACTACTGGGAACAATGATGAAGTCTGCGCCAGGTGTACTATTCTCATCACCAACTCGTCTGGTACAAGTGAGCTCAATACTGATGGAGCGGGCAGCCTCATCCAACACAGACCAAGACACCAAAGCATTGGCAGTTCAGCTACTCGATATACTCAAACAACGACAAAAGTAACATTAATGTTAAAGGTTACTCCTCGACTCGTATGTACATTGATCATCAGTTTATTGATCGATTTTGATTGATTAATTGATTGATGGATTGATTGATTGATGGATTGATGGAACTATACCAAACAGGCTCCTTACTTGGCAAAAGAACGAGCAGCTTCATCAATAAGGTTGGCTACCTCCTTGGCATGGGATGCGAGGGATGCATGGCTAGAGTCGAGCGAGATGATCTTCTTGGGCTTCATACGCTCGGCCATGGACTTCTCAGCCTCTGGTGGGATCATGTGATCTTGTGAAGAGACCTGATACCAACTTGGCTTGGTCTTCCAGGCTGGTTCATCCGACTTGTCATCGAAGCAACGAGCAGCAATTGGTTTTTGAGCAGTTGCCATCACCAATGCCTCGGTGCTGTCGAGATCCTGGCAGAAGCTCTCCTTGAATGCGGGCTTCTCAATCCAGAGGAATCCATTGGCATCAGGTTTGATGTGTGCGCCTCCAGATGGTGGTGCCTGACGGGAGAAGATACCGTTGAGACTCTCCCCCTTGTCGGGAGCAAAGGCAGCAATGTAGACAAGTCCAACAACGTTTTGTTGATGACCGGCTCCAGTAATGACAGCGCCTCCGTATGAGTGGCCAACTAGAAGAGTAGGTCCATTTTGAGCAGCGGCCAACTTCTTTGTACGATCAATATCATCGGCAAGACTTGTCAATGGATTTTGAACAGCAGTGACATTATAGCCCTTTGCATGTAATATTGGGATAACTCCTCTCCAATGCGAACCATCGCCCCAAGCTCCATGAACGAGTATAATATTCATTATAATTATAATTTATTATAATTTATTTAATTTAAATAGTAATATAGGGTATATAGATAATTAATATCAATACAATATGAATAATGATATTGATTATTGTTGTTATTTATCCATTCATTCGTTCATTAATGTTGATGTGAACATACACCACACGCATCTTGTAACTCCCCACTTTAATGCAAGTTCAGGGCGTCGTTTCAATTCGTCGGTCGAGGGAAAAGGGTTAAGTTAAAATGGAATGTATGACCAATCAACAATGTCTTGATATAATCTTGTAATATTTAATAATGACAACAACATCATATCATAGGACAATGATGATAATTAGGAAAACGATTAACAAAATTTGACATTTCGGCAAATAGAGGACCCGAGTAAGAAGTTCAATCATGAGTCCAGAAAGGACAAAATTATGTCATTTATTTATTTAATTATGAATAGTATTTCTTAATGATCTTATTATGATCAACTAACTGGACAGATACTTTAGTGACTTTGTTCAATTTACCAACTATATAGTTTGATATTTCAAAGATGTCTTGAAATAATTCACCATAGACTGCACTATTTCCCTATAATATAATCCGAGGTTTCGGAGAACTTCCTATTTTTATTGCTGACCAAGGGAGTATATTTGTATTTTTAATTCGTGGTTTATTAATTAGACCACAATCAAATGTCTCCAATCTACAATTCTAAACATCAGTACAATATATTCTATTATTTAATATGATCTCGGTTATATATATATCAACCAGTCA